ACACACAAAACGTCTCATCTAACTACATCTCTGCAATACACATAGCCAACTAATTTTCGAATTTTCTAATTTACTCAAACAACACATCCTTTTTGTCAAAATATCTATCTCTTCTACGCAAGATCTGACTGATTTGGGATGTTTTGATTTTTTGATTTGGTCTATTTTTTTTGGTTGTAATCATATATTTGATTTAAGATCTAATTAAGGAGTTTGCTTTTTTGATTGGTAAAACAAATGGTGTGGTGGAACAGCAGTCATAATATATATCAAAATACAGACAATGTATAGCGATGTGAGATTGAAGTGAAACATTACAGGGCGTGTTTGGTAACGTTTACGTTTTCAGTTTATATTTATACAACAAACCACTCATTATTGATTTTTTATTTTTAAATAAAGATGAAATTACAAACACGTTTGATAATTGCCAAAATATCCTTACAAAAATTCTAAAAATATAGCAAATAGAAGGGCAGTGGAGAATGGTAAGGTGGGCTGACAGATGAATACAGGGTTGTCGGTGTGAATTAACAATTGATTGACTGGTCGGGTGGTGGTGGTGGGGTTTAAATGGTGGCGGTGGTGGCGCTGGGTAGTGGGTGGTATTAGTGGTGTGTTTAGGGGTAACGGCAGAATGTGTGGTGGTGGGGCGGTTGGATGGCATGTGGTGCAGATGGGTGGCGGATGGCAGGTGGTGGTGACTGTATTAGGTTGGCAGGGGTTGGTGGTACGGTCGGGCTTCGCGTTCGCATGATGACAAGTAGGGTATGAGCAGTGTTGAGTATTATGGTGTTTACGGCTGGTAGGTCGCGCGAGTTTTCTTGGCTATGCCGTCATTAGGTGGGGTTTGGTTGAGGAAAGGTGCTTAAGGTGTAGACGAGTGAGTGGTTGACCGGATTGGTGGCCGGACCTAGCCAGATGGCGGATGTGGTGGGTGAGTGGGTGGGTGACAGTGACGGGTAGGTAGCAGTGTGGTGGTGGGCTGACGGTCGGGTTATTCGACGCTGAGTATTAGCGGCGGTGGTCATGAGTAGTTGGACGAGCGAGTAGGTGTATGTAGGTTTATGCATTTGGCTTGGCCGTGGGGGTGGTAGGTCTGGCGGATGGCCGGTGGTCGATGGCAGGTGGTCAGAGGTGGGTGGTGCATTGGATAGTGGGTGACGGTGGTGGGTCGATAGTAGGTGGGGCGGCGGCGTGGGTGGGCTGTGGTGAGGGTGGGCTGGCAGGTGAGTGTGCTGGTGGTGTTACGAGGAATGGATGGTTCATACTTGTTCGAACCCTCGGGTTGCAATTGATGGCAGAGTTGGTGTTTGTCAATTATGGCAGTGTGGTGGAAAGACGTGGTGTAAGCAAATAGTGACTGGGTTTGTTGACTAGTGCTGGGTAGTAAAATAAACAAAAAACTTTAAAACGTCGAAAAACCATTTTTTGTGTTTTCAATTATGTTCAATTGTGCCAAATTAATAAACTGCAGACCACTGATTTGAGTTAATTCAAAAAATTATATACCAAACAAAGTTTTTTATTTGAGTTTAAAATTTTGTAAATATAAAACAGAAAACTGAAAACGGTAAATTTACCACAAACAGCACTAAAGTGATCATTAAACGTAAGAGAATTGCGGTTGGATTACAGCAGGTTACAGTGGGTCATCGCATTATGGCGGAGTGTTGGTTGCGAGTTAGTTTGCGGTAAAATCTAGCGGTAGCAGTGGTTAATTATGGTAAGGTAGAGATACTAGTTTTTGATTATTGAAGAAATCTGAAAACTGGTTTATGGCCCGTGAATTTACATTGTGGAAAAGTGATTTATGAGATTATAGTTTTAATAGATTAAACTTTATAGCTGTGATTATCAAGCGGTTAACCTGTAATTTTTGGCTGCTGTGTAAATATAAAAGTTTGTAAACAGTAGAATGCCATGGCTGTATAGAATCTAATAAGCTTAAAATAACTGTTATTGTATAATTGTCATTTTCTGTCTTTACGATATAATAAATGCAGGATCATTTTGTCAATTTTTTTTAGTTTTAATTTTAAAAATATTTCATTAATAAAAGTTAATATAATTAGTATTAATTAGTTCAATTAATATAATATTGTTACATTTGATAAATATTGTAATAGAGAAGTATTAATTGTTTACAATTTTTTTCCATTATAAATTAATTAATATCAATTAAATTGCTTAATTAGTATCAATTAATAACTAAAATTATTAAATTAATATAATTAAATGAACTAATTAGCTCGAAAAACAATTAATACTAAAATTATTATTAGTATAAATTAATATAATAATTATTTTTATTAGTATCAATAATATTAATAACAACAATTGTTGTTAATTAGCCTGCAATTAATTAATTAATTCATTATCAAAAGTAATACAATATTATTTATTAATAATTAATACGAACTTAATATTGATTTTTTCTGTTTTCTTCTAAAAGACTATAAAAGCAAATTTTTTGTATTTTTAATTAATGATAAAAATAGTACAATTAGGAATTTATTAATAAAACTTAATACAAATTAATATTTATTTTTTATTAATATTAATTTTGCTTTCTTCGTTTTTCTTTCTGCGACATTACCTGTTATTTGGTTTTGTTTGTTTAATTATTTTAATTTTAATTTAATTATATAAACGGAAAAAAAAATTAAAACTAACCCAATCATGGGAAAAAAAAAAAAATTTTTAAATTTAAAAATTAAAAAATTTTTTTTTTTCGTTGTTAAATCAAATTAATATTTATTTTTTAATTAATTTGATTTTTCTTTATTTTTTTTATTTTTTAATTAATATTAATATTTGGGTATTGATGAGAGCATTTAAGTAATTTTAGCCCTCCACACCAACTGCGTGCTAGTCGAAAATTTAAGCACCCCTGACCAGCTTTTGAGATAAGCTGGTTAACTTAAACTGTATCAAATATAATATTTTAACTTAAATTAAACTAAAAGCTGAAATAAACAGCTTATAAGCCCTACCAAATAGGCCTATTAAAGGAGATGAAGAAATTATGGTTTTGGTGGAAAAGATAAAGACACTTTGATAATTTTATTTTAGAAGAAAAGTGTAATAAAAAAATAAATTAAATGTGTTCAAAGAGGTAAGTAAGTGTGTGGAAATAGAATTTTCCCAACAAAATGGCCTCAAAACTCCATCAACCTTGGTAAAGTTTGAACAAAAAATAACACATTTGCCTAGGAGCTTTATTGACTTTCCAGACACTAATTCTACAACACAAATGCTTAAAAACACTAACGATGTATATTTGAAAAAGAAAAAAAAAAATAAATGAAATGTTAATAAATATATCTATATTTCACTTAATTTTATATACTTTTTTTTATTCTTTTTCTAAATCTCCTAACCAAATACAACGTAATTAATGTGTCGAGTTCGTATATTTGTTGCTATATTTTTTAATATCTCTAAAATTATTCATTCTCCAAACCATGTCAGGCCTTTCCGCACCACAACCTCTATTAATTTTTTCATTATTATTCATGTCTCCCTATAAAATGTGAAAATTTGATGATCCTTTTTCATTTGTCATGATTCTAACATTTTCTCTAATTAATAACCACAAAAAAAAAAAAGAGGTATAGAACCAGAAAGGGAAGAATGTAGAAAATGTTTCTGCATATTCAACTAGTAGTGGAAACAGAATTCAAAAAATGATTAGGGAATGGTCACCATAGCATACCATACCCCAAAGCATTTCAGAGAGCTTGAGATTTCTGGCGCTTCATGTACTGAAGGATAGGCTCCTTAACCTGTAAAAGGGAAGAAAATCATGAACAGAACAATTTTAGAAAGTCTTAAGACTCTTTATTATTCTGAAGAGTCATACCGTGCTTGCTTTCCTGGACCGCTTGTCCTGGGTGGACATACTGCAGATACCTGTGTCAACCCCATTGAAGTGATCGGCATTTCCATTTGCTCTGGCATTCTCATTCCCTGGTACAAAACTCTCTCTGGAAGCTACTGGCTGCACAAAAATCACAACACATTACCCATCACACTTCCGTCAAACTTTTGAGTAACATGAGTTGATTGTACGTTTTCTGTATTTTTTTGGCAATTGGTATGACAAAAAACGTTTTTCAAAGTCAACTAAAAACACGATTATTTAGACAAAAAATATTTTTTACTTTTGAAAGGTGAAAAACATTTTCCAAAACCACCGTTACCACCACCAACACCAACCAAAGGTACCTCGACCATTAAGCCACTTAGCTTGTTACCTAAGCCCCAAAATTATTTTAAAAAAATTGTTGCTGAAGGCCCAATAACAATTTTTTAAAGATCTACTAAGATAATGTCTCGTTTTAATGTTTAGCCTAACATCTCAAAGAACCTTGAGCCTCTACTACACCACCATCAAAAACATATCACTAAGTTTTAAGGTCATAGCCAAATATAAGAAAACGTTTGCTATAAAAAAAATGTTTTATGTAAGAAAATATTTCTGCCAAAAAAAAACAGAGCATGCAATTCATGACCAGACAGGCTAACCTCAGCCCGGCTTGTGGGGGTGTTTCCATGATCCCTTGCCCTTGAAACAGTCTGCTCATTTCTTATAGAGCCATTTTGATGTGCTTTGGACCTGCCTCTTGTGCGTGTGAGGTCTGATCCAATGGAGTGGAAAACACCACAGGTGGACATATCCCTGTTGATGCTTCCTGGATTGTAGAAAAGCTAACTTTATTTCAACTGTTTGTTGCAAAATAGGGAAACTAAACTACAAGACAATAAAGCATTAGTATATAAGTATTCTGATCACTTACCCATTTTCTGAACTCAGCATGGCTGGACTTGTGCTCATTAATATCCCCATCCTGTTTAATTTAATAGAGTTCCAATAGGTCAACACTAGTATTTCCAGATGCATGCAACCAAGGAAGGTTTAATAATCACCATGGCATCAATATCCATAGTTTTCTTTATTTCCATTAGCTTTTTCTCAGTTAGATCAGAGTGGATCACGCGCTTGCCTGTGACAATAAATGGAAAAAAGTTTATAACAACAATTTTACCAAAATATGCCTAAGATTGACACGAAAATACACGCACCTAGCTTCCTGCTGCCTTTGGCATCAAGAAACCCATCATGGATCATTTTATCAATTAGCTTGCGCACAGTAGTCTGGTTGATTTCTCCATCAAGCTTGCTCTGAAGCTTTGCAACAGTAACGTAGCTCATCAGAAGAGCATGATACAAAGCCTGAAATTAGAGCATTCATAATAGTTACACAATGCAGGAAGTTCACATCACATCTGTATCTATCCATTGGTAGGGTGTAGTGGACTCTGTTTTTGATCACCCAAAAGAAACTTGGATGATAACATCTGATAAACTTACTTCCTATATCTCATTCTTTATGCCACTGCTATTATTTTTTGATACTGAAGTTAATTGCAAAATTTTTAGAAAATAAACTATAAGATTAGTAGGTTCACTTATAAGCAGGTATCTCTAAATTCTTGGTCATAGTTTCTCTACATAGTGCAAAATGGTTAAGAACAATGAGGGGAAAAAGGGCCCAGGAAGCTCTAAGATTCCCAGCAAATAAGAACTTAAAACGTAAATAAAAACCAAAAAATAGGAGAGGGAGAAAATGTGGAATGTAAAGAGACCTAAAACTGATTCCATTAAAAAGAAAAAAAAAATTATTACACTTACCTTCATGTACATGTGATCTTCACCAATATCATGCTGGGCTTTCTTGCCTGGGACAACTTGGCCATCCATTTCTTCCTTTATAGGATTGAGATCATAGTCGAATTTCTACAAGTGTGGTTTTGTTACCCCAAAAAAAAACAAACACTTAAGACTACAATAACACAAAGACACAAAATTCAAACTGAATGAAAAGAAATGAACTACCTTTTGCTTGTTAATCGTGTAACTGTCTGTTCCGCTCTTAGATAGAATACCTTCCTTAACTAGCTTGTCCATAATTTCTGAAAACCAGTTACAAAAATAGAAGTTTCAAATTATTCTACAGCTTAGAATGTGCAACCGTGCAGGATTGGATGACTTCTTTTACAAGTTTCAACATGTGTCAGAGATTCAAAAACCACAAAATATGATCAGGAAAAAGAAATCAAAATACACCACAAAGAAGGTGAGGAATTTTGGCTGAATTCAATGAGTTATGGGAAAATAATTAAACAAATTAAGAAAACTCACAATGGAATGGAAATGCAGGGCCAGGCACAAGCTCATAGAGGAGTTGTGATCAACATGGAATCATTCAGTGGAATGGAAATGCAGGTTTACATTGGAAAACATCCTTATGTAGATGTCTATGGTGGCAAATTGTGGATTAATATCCTACATGAAATTGACACACACAATTTATCAGCTGTTGATCTAGTTCTCAAATTGCGTAATGAGCCTGTTTGGTGCAGTATTTTTTATGTTTAATTATTCTAAGATCCCCTAAACTATTAGTGAGAACTAGATCAACAGATGATGAGGATTAAGATGGTACAATGTCGTCAAAGCCTCTAGGCTTGTATGCCATGGAGGAACAGCTGATGAATTGAAGCTATTGTTGCTCATGTCCCTGCATACCATCATCTTATGGTCAGAAAATGCAAATAGATTTCACATGCATTGCTAACAAAATTGAATATCGAAGGAAATTGCAACAACTTACAGAGAGTTGAGAAATTTCATCCCTGTGAGATAACGGGAATTACTAAGTGTGTTAATGAAACTAGGTTCTCGAGTCATGACATACCATCTTTTACAAACAATTCTGCATATCAAGATTAATTCAATTGGAAGTCTAGACAGGATGTCGGAGAGTATCTCTTCTCGCAGATCAACTACTACTCTGTTCAATTGATCGTTGCAATTGGTTAAGCTTTTTCACTTCGAGTCCGTCATTTGAAAAAGCATTTGAAACTCCTAAAACCAATTCTTGCAAAAATCTTTCTTACCGAGGAATCCTCAGAAGTAAGCTGTAGCACAGGCTAGGGATATGAAATTCAGTGCGACAAACTACAATTTCCACCAAAAGGCAAAAGTGCTGTTGACTAGTAGAGACATCTCTCTCTTT